TAATAATACTTTGACACTTTTTTTTGAGAAGACAAAAAGTCAACCAATCTCATTTCAAACCATTTTGCCACTTTGGCTTTTACCCTTAAACTTTTCTTAAAAGATTAGGCTCTTGTCAATCCTTGTAGTGATGCAAACAACTATACTTCTACATTATGTAGTGAAGAGAGATATTTTCCACTTGGGTGTTGAGTGAGGCATTATTGATTTTAAAATCCAAGCCATATCCTCAACTTTGAGATGAAGCAAATTCTCCTTTCTCATGATTGTGGGTAGTAAGTATATTTTCCACACGGACAATGACGATGATGTCTTATCTCTTAAAATTAACCAACACACTTGTATTTCAAACTTTTAAAAGAGGAACTACGTGTACCCTGATCCCCTATTGCACGAAAGGTGGTACGTAGGCACTAAAGGTACGCAACCGCGGCGGGTGCAAAAATCATAAAAATATACTTCTTTTCTCACCTCCACCATCCATTTTATATACAACACATTTTATAGCCAAAATATACAGATTTTACAAAGAGGTTCCTACGGAGTACCGTAGATGTTTAGGGTGCTAATACCTTCCCTTTGCATAACCAACCCCCTTACCTTGAATCTTTCCCCCTTTTTTTGGGTTATTCGCTCTTTTCCCATTCCTTTGGAAACAATAAAGCGCGGTGGCGATTTTTATTTTAATTTGTATAAAGTCTAGTCAATCCAATGGCTTAGTCTTGAACATTTCTACCGCTACACATGTGTAGAAGATAGAGCTAAGATATTCATGTTGTTGTTATTTTATGAGAATTCTCGAAGATAGTAAGATGTAGATGTAACATCAATTTTGAATTTTAGAATTTTCAACTTGTATCATAAATTTTGTAGTTGTTGTTGTATATATCATCAATTCATATATATGTGGAATTTTTACATATGCATATTTTATTGGAATGAAGCTACCAAATATGGTGCATAATATGGTGAAAACCTGGTTTAAATATGGTTAAAATCTGATTAAAATGCATTATATATATTGGACAGCGCTTTTGTAAGTCAAAATAGGTATTTTATTAAAACAACTTTGTGATCAATAGACAACGCTTTAAGAGAAAAGCGTTGTAAAAAGTCAAAAAAACACTGCCTAAAGTGGGAAAGTGTTGTCTAAAGTGGGGGAATAGACAACACTTTTAAAGAAAAGCGATGTCTAAAGCCTAACTTAAAAAATAACATAAAGCACTGTCTAAAGCAAAAGTGCTGTTAAAGGGATATATAAAAAAGTGCTGTCTATTTTAAAAACGCTGTCTAAAGGGGTGCATAAGAAAGCACTTTTAATGTAAAAGTGCTGCCTAAAATAGACATAAGACAACGCTTTTACATTGAAAAAAAACGATGTCTTTACTTTTAACAGCGCTGTTAAAAATAAAAAAAAAAACACTGTCCAATATTATCTTGTTTGGCACAGTGAGTAGTGTCAAAAATTTGATAAATATTGATACCTTCAATCTTAGATTTCATAGCTGGGTATTTGTGATAACTATTATTATTTTGTGTACGGACTAAAAGTTATTATATTAATGATATTTTTTAAATAAAAACTACATTCTTTACCTATAAAAGTAAAATATATATTTTAAATATAATTTAATTGGTATGTATATTTGTAAACAATATAAATTAATTCACATATATATTGTTATATCTCACAAATATAAATATTTATAAAAATATATATTTAATAAGATATGAAAATGACATAATAATAAAAAATAATGCAATACATACATATATATATATATATATATATATATATATATATATATATATATATATATATATATATATATATATGATTGATTTGTATGTCCCTGTATTCTAAATTTTCTGGCTGCGTCCATGTGATGGAGGTTAGGTGAGGTCCATTTTCCATTGTAATCTCCCATGGCTTGAAGTTTGAACTTTTATTATGATGTACTCTCCCAACTTGGGAAAAAACTGATGTAACTTTCACATAATTTATTATGATATGTCGGTATGGTGTTTATATCTCCTCTTCTTCTACCCTAAATGCTCATCCTCATAACACGGAGAATATACATAATTTATTACAAACATAAATTTCTTTAAACAAATTGCTTTTTAGCAAAAACAATTTGTAATAAATAAAAAAAGAAAACTCTTTTGTTGATATTCTTGCCATGTTATATGTCAATAATAACATATATCTAGTGATGGTGCATAAACAATTTTCTTGTTTTTATTCATTAATTTATTGATAGGTATAAAAAGTCAAAAATTAACCATTAAAAAGGAACCAAAGAAATAATAAATATTGAAGGAATGTCTTTTTTGCAAGGATGTAGTCTTTGTTTGTTTGTTATCATGTAAACAAAACAAAAAAGTTGTGTCAAACTATATTTTTATTGTTGAATTTTTTTAAATAATTAAAATTTTTAATTTTAATACTTATAATTAAGTTTTCTCTACAATTTTCAATATAATTATATTTCAAAAAAAAAAAAATTAAAGAGGACACATTTTATATTTTCTTAACTTTTTATAATTACTTATATATTTGTCTACGAATTTGATATTACCTATAAATTTTCTTGTAGATATTTTTGCAGATTTACCTACGGACATATACATATGTTAATTATATGTAGTCAAAATGTGACGACATATGTTAATGATATGTGGTCAAAATGTGACGAAAGAAATGGATCATTATAAAGTAATGACGCAGTACCAACCAACAGTTTTAATTTACATCCCCACTTGTGCACCCCCAAAGTTAGTATTGACATTTAATTGCAATAAATTCTCTTCCCGTATTTGACTCTTCAAATCCTCTATTATTACTTTTTTGCTATATATTGGTGTGTTTGTATATGCTGCTGTGATCTTTCTGTAACAATTCATTTCTAGGTGCTGCCTTCTTCACCTGTGCTTCTTTTCATAAGGTACTCATTCTTTCTTTCTTTTTTAAACTAAAAGTATTTTTGTTTTCTAGTCCTTATGTTCTTTTTTTAATTATCATTTTTTAATTTTTTAAATATATTAAGAAAATTTATAATTGTCGTTATTTTTTATATTATGATTTTTCTTTTACCGATATCTTGGTTTACATGTCTAATTCAAGTCACATTATTAAATCTTTATTAATTTGATTATACTAATAATATAAAAAAAATGTATACTATCTATTAAGCGTGATAGTTAAATCTTTATTAATTGACTTATTCTAATAATTTATAAAATAATGATTTAGAATAATTGTGATTTGTAAAGAATTTATACTAACAATGAATAATAGTTAATCTTAAAATTAACAATTTCCTAAATAAATTGTTTAAGTCATTGTTTTTTCATATTTAAAAAAAAAAAACATGAATTTGAATTACTCTCAATCGTGGTTAAATTTTTGTTTGACACCAAATTTGTCGGCACGAAGCAATATGATAGAACGAGGTTGGTTATTTGACTATTCTTAAAATGAATAGTAGTGTATTTTTAATTATTCCTAAACTATTTTTATTTACTAATGGAAGGGGCTCAAAGTGATGCTTATATTCAATACGTATTTTAATAAAAACTGAGAAAATGATCAAATATACAAACTTTGACTTATCAAACCTTATTTAGTGTTCTATTGAATGATTTTTTTTACAGCTTTGCTATTTGTACACCCCTTTCCTACGCTAACATCTACACTGCATATATTATTTATCAAAATTTATACGATAAATAATATTTTTTTAATAAAATAATATTAAATAATGAACAGTGTTAATAAATAATGTTAGTGAACAGTATAAATAAACAGTTTTAGTAAATAGTATATTAATGATAAAATAAATTTAATTAATAAAATATAAAACAAATAATTAATGAAATGATGAAGTTCATTAATAAATATTCAAATAATAAAAATAATTTTTAATACTTAAATAAAATTGGTTAATAAAATATAAAAAATTAGTTAATAAAATTATAGAGTTATTAATCGACCGAAGTTAGTTAATCACATAATTATATTTTCGTATTCTCTCAATCTAAAATATATTAAAAAATATAAAACAAAATTATTTAAAAAAAAATTATTATTGTAATATTTCATTTTTATTATATTATTAAACAATAAAATACGGTATAAATATATATATTTGATATAAGAATATCATTTCTTTTTTTTTTTAAAACTCAGTCCCTTAATTTTCTTATTTTTTATAGGTCTAATTAAGGGATACAAAAGCGTATGTCTGAGATTTTAATTTTACAATAAAAAATTGAAAGAAAAAAAAATAATATATATATATATATATATATATATATATATATATATATATATATATATATATATATATATATATATATATATATATATATATATATATATATATATATATATATATATATATATATATATATTAAAATTAAATTAAATTAATAATAACTTTCAATTATCTTTCAAAATTTTTATATCTAAAATCATTTTTAAATATGTTAAAAACAAATTTTTATTAATTACATAATAAATAAAATTTTAAATCATTTTTTTAAATATGTTAAAAACAAATTTTTATTAATTACAAAGTAAAACAGATCATTTTTTAAAAGTTTTTTTTCAAGAAAATGTTATTTATTTTTCCATTTTTTAGTTTTTAAAAAAGAATTACTTTTTTTTCAGTAAAATGTACTAAATCATCAGAATAGTTTTATATAAAATACAAATTTTAAGAAAAAAACCTAAATAACTACAGTTTTTCAAATTGATTTAATACAAAATAAATCCTCAAAGATTTAGGGTCTTGAGTATCCTTAACAAGTTCATAAAAAAATAACATCAAGGGATTGGAGCTGAAAATTTTTTTCATTCATCAATAAGAGATTAATAAAAGACTTAAAGTGAGATTCTTTTTAAAGTCATTGAATCATAATTAAGAATTGTATTGTAGTACTTTTTTTACGTTTTTACTTTGCTTGAAAATGAAGGGTTTTTAATATTACATACAATGAGCAAAAGAAAGGGTCGAGGATCGGAAATGAGCCCTCCTCCATCACCAGAAAATGTCAAATCATCGCCACCTGATTTGCCGGAGTTACTGTCTTCATCTTCATCTTCGTCTTCGTCTTTGTCTTCGAAATCATATTCGTCAAAGATGATTGCTGATGAGGTAACTTCAATGGCTACTAAACAAGATGATAACGAGGAGGAGTATGCAAAAGCAGTTACAAAAGAGATGGTTCTTGTTGGCTGTCCTAAATGCTACATGTATGTTATGTCATCAGAGGATGAACCAAAGTGCCCCAAGTGTAAGACTACTGTATTTCTTGATCTTTTTGGAGATGAAGATTGATAGCAAATATTTGAGATTGTGGCAATGAGGAGAATCAGACTGTTTCATGTTTTTATTGAAAATCCATGTATGGTTACTCTAATTTTATAATCTAATTCTAGTGTTTTATTTTAAATAATAATATTTTAGCTAGTGTAGATAAAATATTTAACATATGTAAGTAAATTTTTCTATGAATGCACCTAACTAAGTAATATAAGGAATGTATATTTATAACATAAAATTTTGGGTTTTTACACTATTATGAAATAGATTATTTAACTCTATTTAAACATGTTTTTTATCTAAGTTTTATGGGCGAAATAACAGTGGGTGTAATGGAAAATTTGTCTTTTTTTTTTCGGTTCGTTTTTTTACTGAGATGAAATTTAATGTTGTTAGCAAAGTATTGCTAATTTGCAACATGCTTTCCCCAACTAGCATCAATTTTTTTTTAACAATCACTCGTTTAAGAAAATTGTAGAAATTACAGAAGATAATCCATCAAGGCAGCTACTTTGAGACGTTTCTCTGCTCTTGAACTTATCACATGGTATGGTGTTATACTATATTCAATATTTTTTTTATTAGTGTATTATTTTTATTATGAGGTGTTTGCGTTTCTGCATTCAGCATTTCAAGATAATTAGTTGTGGTATTTATGTTCTAAGTTATTGGTTGGTGTATATTTCATACGGATCGATGATGTTTAATATAAATTGATGAGCTGATAATGTATTTATTATTATTATTTTATAAATTGACAGCAAAGATACGTTGATAATTAAATAATTACACATATTTCTCTTCGGTTGTCATCTCAACCGAGATAATAGGTATTAAATAAAAAAAATCAAAAAATACATTAAAATGAAGTTGTTGAAATTAGAAGGAGTGTTGATCATAACATTTCTCTTCGCTTTCTAACTTAACAGAGAGAATAGGTCATAAATAAAAAATAAATAAAAAAATCGGTTGCTAGCTCAATTGAGAGATTAGTTCATAAATAAATAAAAAATTTAAAAAATAAAATGTGGTTCAATGTAGATGCTGGAATTCAAAGTAGTTGATTGATCATAACTTTTTCCTTCGGTTTCTAGCATAACCAACGAAATGGAAAATATGCTTTTTTTTATAAAAAGATTGAAATATAACGTACATATGATTGCTATCTCAGTTGTCTATTGGCTAAGGTGAAGCTTTGAAATAAAATATATTATTTATAGTAGTGTCACTTGCATGCACTCCTTATTATTAAATAAAATCATATTACTGTTATTAGATTAAAATCCAGACCATTATGTTATATTTGCACTTCACGCAACACCATCTTTCATTCTTTATATATAATCAAAATCATAAACCATCGCATTTTAAGAAACAAATTTCTTGTGTCAACATTATTATTTTTCTCAATTCTTATGAGCTCATTCATCGTCATACAATCTTTATATAGTTTTTGAAAATCCTTGCATCGAAATCTTTGAATAATATTATAGGTTTGCTCAATACTCAAAAATTACATCGGGCCCTTTCGGTGCTGAAAACATCCCTACTTTCATGATTATAAATCTAGTATGTCATAAAGATTCAAATCATAAGTTACAGAGTGAGAGTGAGTTTTAATCATGAGTGTAAAATAAGCGAGACAACATGAGAGCCGTATTTTTCACAATTCATCTAGGGTTCATTGTGATAGTTATAGCCCTTGAGAGATAGTTAAATTAATGTGGAAATCTATGAGTGTGAGTTTAAATTAGGAATTAGAAACATTGTTAAGGTCCTAATTGGTTTAACTTTTATCGAATCTACGGTAATTGATGTTATTGTAAAAATTATTCTCTTATTCGTGTAAAATATTGAAATTATCTTATTGTCTTTAATATTTGATGATTATTGTGAAAATATTATATGTGATAAAGAGTTGATGCAAAAAATTTATGGTAATTATGTATGAGTGATAATATTTTGACTCTGAGTGAATTTTTATGAATATAATTTAATTGATATACACTGACCACAAACTGCAGCTGCTATGCCCGTCATTTCCCGCGACAAGCAGTGTCCCCGACCAGGGAAACTCCAGCTCGAGTCCAGTTCAAGCACCCTCCACGTAGGGCAGATTCTGTCCACTCTAACCGTTATAGAATCCTCTAAGCTCCGGAAAGACCGCGTCTTCGTCCCTCCTTATTCTTCGCAGACCACCACCAGGAAGGGGACCACGTGCGGGGCCCCACTACGCACGTAGAACCTGGCAGTTCCTTCATTGTGTTAGAACAAAGTTTGAATCTACTACCCTAAGTTTAAGTTTTGATGATAACAAAATGAAATGATATATTAATTATGTGATTCATGTAAGAACTATTTGCTACCTAAAATTTACTTTCTGTATTACAGAAACTCTGATGGCTATCAGCATGAGAACATCCTCATCAGCATCAGAAAATTGGATATCAACATCAGCATCAGAAGTTGCTATATCAGATACCAGAATCAGAAGAACAACTCACGCTTATGTTGAAGCTTGATGAATAGATCTGCGCTCAACACTCTGAACTCTGATAAAGACAACAACAGTTCATCAGCACTTAAGCAGCGTCAGAATGAGCCAAAGCCAGAACACGCTTAAGTAGCAACGGTACTGTGCATTCAAGATGAGTTATTACCAACGACATCATTCCAGACAAGATCTGCTTAATAAGGAAAGATTGTTATTGGCATTGAATCAGAATTATTGCTCCAACGTTCAGTAATTCCAATGCTATATAAACAAGTCAATAAAGATTGAATTGGCTAATGCTCTACATCAATTTACACGCCAAAAAGCTAATCATCATCTTCCTTACTCTCAGTTTGCTAAAAGCTCCAAAATTCCTTACTCAATTATTTTAGCAATCTAGTTTCCATAAGCTTAAGTTGTGTAGTATCACAGTTGTGATAAACAGTTTTGTAGAAAACATTCACACACCTAGATTTCAATTCTTTGTAAGAAAGTGATTCCTTGAGAAACTGGTTTGTGGTTTGCATCAAGAAGGCTTTTAGCAGTTGTTAAAGTAGATTGTAATATTCAGTTGAATATAGTGGATTAAGACCTCGTTGGAGAGAGGCGAAATCACCTTGACGGGTGGACTGGAGTAGTTTGAGATCAAACGAACCAGGATAAAAATATCGTGTTCATTGCATTGATTTTCAGTTTTACAATTCAACCCCCCTTCTTGTGTTTTTCACTTCTTCAATTGGCATCAGAGCGCCTGGTTCTGAGCTAAAACACTTAACCGTGTCAGTACAAGATCCAGCGTCAGAAAAACACAATGGCAGGAACTTATTCACACACCAGCAATGACAACAATGAAGACAGAGACAGATTCAGCGGCAAACCTCCAGTCTTTGATGGAGAAAATTTTGATTACTGGAAAGACAGAATTGAAAGCTTCTTTCTGGCACATGATGCTGATCTGTGGGACATGGTGACAGATGGATACACGCACCCTGTGAATGCAAGCGGTCAGAAGATTGATAGGAAAGCAATGTCTGACCAACAAAAGCGTGACTTCAAAAATCACCACAAGGCCAGAACCATCCTTCTCAGCGCTATCTCCTATGCTGAATATGAAAAGATCTCAAACAGAGATACAACAAAGAACATGTTTGACTCACTCAGAATGACGCATGAAGGCAACATTCAGGTCAAAGAAACTAAAGCTCTTGCGCTCATTCAGAAGTATGAGGCATTCAAAATGGAAGAAAGTGAATCCATTGAAACAATGTTCTCAAGATTCCAAATTCTGGTGGCTGGTCTCAAGGTTCTGGACAAAGGATACTCTACTGCTGATCACGTCAAGAAGATCATCAGAAGCTTACCAAAGCAGTGGAGGCCAATGGTTACACCTCTGAAGCTAGCAAAAGATCTCAACAAAATTTCTCTGGAGGAACTTATCAGCTCCCTCAGAAGTCATGAGATAGAGCTAGAAGCTGATGAACCTCAGAAGCAAGGTAAGCCTTTAGCATTAAAATCTAACAAAAAATCGGAGTCTAAAGTTTTTCAGGCAGTTGATGAAACATCTGATGGATCCTCATCAGAAGAAGACGGACTTTCTCTCCTCTCCAGAAGAGTGAACCAACTGTGGAAGCAGAGGCAAAGGAAGTTCAGGAATCCCAGAAGATCTGATCAGAACGAGTCCTCTTCCAGATACAGAAGGACAGATTCTTCCTCTGGATACAGAAGATCTGAAGGTTCCTCAGGAAGCAGAAAGCCAAACACCAAGGACATCATCTGCTATGAGTGCAATGAGCAAGGACACTACAAGAGTGACTGCCCAAAGCTTCAGAGGGAAAAACCCAAAAAGAAGTTTGGAAGAGAAAAGAAGAAAAGTCTCATGGCTACATGGGATGACTCTGACTCGTCTGTAGCTGACTCAGAATCAGATGATGAGAGAGCAAACATAGCTCTCATGGCCAACATTTCAGAAGATAGTGAAGCTTCTGAATCATACTCAGAATCAGATACTGAAGAGGTATTTCCTGACTTTGCAATTAATTTTACTAAGGCTGAACTTGCTGAAAGCCTTAATGAAATTTTGGAAAGGTACCAGCAGATTAGAGTTAAATTCAGAAACCTGAAAAGGAATCTTGAATCTGACTCTGATAAGACTGAGAGTCTTAAATTGGAAAATTTTGAGCTGAGAAATAAAATTTCAAAATTAGAAAATACTTTACAAAACTCTCAGAATGAACCAATTTCTGAAACTCCCAGCAGCGCTGATGAGATCATCAAGGAGTATGATCACAGTTTCCAGAAGTTCCTTGCTAAAAGCATAGATAGAAGCAAAATGGCTTCAATGATCTATTGAGTTAGCAGAAACGGCAGGAAGGGAATAGGATACCAAGGTAAGGTTCCTACACCAAAGAATGTCATGGATTTAACCATTAAACACACTCCTTTGAACTCACATTTTGTGTATGGTCACACACATGATATTAAATACACTAGCAGTAAGTATTCTGTGAAACCAAAATTCAAC